GTTGGATCTGTACTCTGATGCTTATGTATAAGAAGGAACACGATGAGTGACATCGTCGATCTGCACTCTGTTCGATCTTTAAATCAATGAAATCACTACCACCACTACAATACTTTCTGAAATCATCTTTATTTCCTGTCGTTGCTCTCTGTTATCTATCTTTCCAATCGTCTCTTTTCTATGTTAGCGGTGGTCGACGGTAGTGACGTTGGTTTGATGACAATGTCGGTGATTCGATTTTAGAGGTGGTGGTGGGGGTCAGGTTTAGTGGATTTAATTTCAGGTACGTTAGAGGATTTTTATGCATTTGATTTGTCTGGATGGTTGAATCAGGTTTTGATTAGGTTGATTTTTCTGGATTGCATTACGTTTGATTTTTCTAGATTTTTTGTGCTCACCGAAGTTGGTAAAGGAGATTGTGGTGCACGAGATTTGATTAAAGTCACGGTGGTGAGCAACTCCAGAGAACATGAAGGGACAAAGTAGAAAGGAGTGGGTGCTCCATTGATTTCCGACTGCAGTGGTCAGTGGTCTGTGAAGTGGTGGTTACCGGCAAAGGAGGCCTGTTCTAGGGAAGTATCTGAGGCAAAGGAAGAAGATGTGCGGGGGTAGGAGTTAGGAAAGGTGGTGGGATCCAATGATTTATTATTATAAATAAGTATTTACTAGTTATTTAAAATGTAGGAAAAAATATAACAAGGGTAAAATTGTCTTTTCATGTCAGTCAAGGACCATAACCGAAACAAAAACAAACTAGAGGGATGGTCCGAGTGGAAAAAAACGTTAGGGGTCAAACACGCAATTTTAACCAAATCACAGAGACGATTTTAATAATTTACTCTATAAATAATAATGAACAGTTATATTAATTAAACTTACCTATATAAATTGGTCTTATTAACAAAAATAATTAATTTTTAAGTTTTTGAAAACTAACCATTTTTTTGTAACACCCCATCCTGAAGAAGTTATGTTTGTTCTAGAGTTGATGTGAGTTTGGTGAACTTTGATGTAAAGTTGTTTCAGAATCTAACAGCGTATATTTTAGACTCACGTAATCAACGCCAAACTGACAACTTACATCCCATACATATATTATGTATTGTCTTTGTACATTTTGGAATGTCGTTATACATTCTAGATATGTATTCCATAATCTTTACACTACATATCCTACATTTTCATATTTTCTTTTACTCATAGCTAAGATTTCTTAATTGTGTTTTATAAAAATTAAAAATGAGTCCCTCATATCATGATCACAAATAAAACTCTGTCAGCCTTCATGTTTAATTGCATAACCTTCAAAGAACCAACTCCACAAGTTTGACTAACATCAGGACAAATGTTTTGAACCGTTTTCATTTTGTGGCTCTTATATATGTGGTAAACAACTTTTTGCCACATATTAATTGTTTGTTTTTAGTTATTAATTTTTTTACAATTGATGTTGAAAAAAATATATAGGTTCATACATTCCTACTTTGCACATTATCAATGATCTTTTGTAACACCCTGTTTCAAGTTGTTCCATATTTCGGGGTCGTGACCCGAAGATCAATTATCATAAGGATCCAGGCCTTGGGAAAGGAGAGGTTTAGACCCATTTGGATGTGGGTAATGTACATTATGTGATACAATAGTTTGGTTTGTGCTTTGCAGCCCAATGATATAATGGGAAAAGTGGTGTTTCAGACTTTTTTTATGAATTAAGGATTTTATTTTGATGTGTTTTAAGTTAAAAGTAATTAGATAGGCTTGTAGAGCTCCTCAATATCTTTTTATGGATATAAAGATCGTCGAAATCGGAGTTGAAACGAAGAAGTTATGACTGTTTGAAGTTATGACCGTTTTGGGTTAAGCCACGTACGTTGGGCGTACTAGGGTATCCCTGAGTATGTTGGGCGTACGCGATCAGTGCTCAAACCCTATTTTCGTGGTTTGAGCCCTATTTAAGCTCCTTAACTTCCCCAAACCCATTCCATTCTCAATCTCCACCTCTCCAACGCCCTCCCTTGAAACCTTAACCCTAGTTTGAGCCTTTTGAGCAAAAAGAAGGTGTTTTTAAGTACTTTGGAGTGTTCTTGGTGCATCTTGGAGAAGAAGGAGCTCATTGGCGAAGTGTTGGTTGCATTGGAGCTTGTAGATACAGACTTTGTTCACCTTGATCTTTCTTATAGAGGTATAAAGTTTGAATCTTGATGATGCATTTGTTAGATCTAGCTAGTCTTGGGTGTTATGAGTTTTTGGTCACTTTAGTGCATAAAGTTTAGATCTTGAAAGTTTGTGATTAAGTTGAAAAAGGAGCTCTTTTGGGCCCTTTGAGACTAAAAGACTATATCTTGGTTGTTTAGACCATTCTAGTGGATGAAGTTGAAAATTTTATCCATTATGAAGCTATTAGGAACCATAGAAATGTAATCTTGGTACTTAGTTTTTTTCCATGCATGTTCTATGTGACATCCCCTAATTTCTCGGCCAGAAAAGACCGATTTAATTTATGCTTTTTAAAATAAAATCA